AATACCTATACTTTCGAATCCTTGCTCAAGCGATATTCATCAATTTCTTTTTTAACGAAATATCTATACTTTCTTCATATTCTAAGTTTCTTTATTTAATTGTTTTGCGGAATTCGAATTACGGATGTTTGTTAATCAGTAATATACGGATTTAATTGAAAGGATAAATATCTTAGATTTCTCCGAATGGCAACAGTTTCGAATGTTGAAACAACGCAAAATCATATTTCGATACTAATTGCTGTTTTGGGCCTTGTGATCATTTATAGAAGTGATACTGAGAACTTTTAATATTTTGCGAAGCTGACCTAGCCTTAGTTCGAACCAAATACCTGTACTTTCGAATCCTTGCTCATGCGATATTCATCAATTTCTTTTTTAACGAAATATCTATACTTCTTTATATTCAAGTTTCTTTATTACTTGTTTTGGGGAATTCGAATTACGGATGGTTAATAATTCATGCGGGAGTTTTTTCTTTGTCTTCTCTGATGTCGGGAGGTCGCTGAACTCTCTTGGAAACCGCAAAATTCATATTTCGATACTAATTGCTGTTTTGGGCCTTGTGATCATTTATAGAAGTGATACTGAGAACTTTTAATATTTTGCGAAGCTGACCTAGCCTTAGTTCGAACCAAATACCTGTACTTTCGAATCCTTGCTCATGCGATATTCATCAATTTCTTTTTTAACGAAATATCTATACTTTCTTTATATTCTAAGTTTCTTTATTTACTTGTTTTGGGGAATTCGAATTACGGATGGTTAATAAATTCATAGGAATGCGGGAGTCTTTTCTCTCTCTGTCTTCTGCTGACTCTTGATATTTTTCCTTATGGGGCATAGGCTTCTGTATTCTCCAGGAAATGGAACCTGCGTCGCATATTTTGAAGGTCAGTTTGTGACTGGAATATGGTAATCATATATTCAGCTTTACCTTTTTTACGTTTATTTATTTATTTATTCATTTGTGTATGTATGTGTGTGGAATATTCGCTCTCTTTCAAGGCTTTTTTCAAAAATAACTTCTCATTTTATGAGTAAATTCTTTTAAGAACGATATGAGGTTTTTTAAAATGCGATAACCGTATGAAAGGAATGCGGACTCGTAATATTAGAGGAAGCAAAAGACTAACAAGAACTTCTGCTAAGCTAGAAAAGAATTCTGAGGAGTTTAAAAATACTGAGTTTAACATGATAAAATGCATTTTTTGCTCCGGTAGCATATCGTCTTTCTTTAGAATCATTCCGTGCTGAAGGGATCAGTATTGCTATCACTGAAACGAAGTTCGATAATGCGAGAAAATATTTTATAAGTCCGAGTTTGTCTTCTTCCAAGTTTATCTTAATGTTCTGGCTGAAAGTTTGGAATTTTTTTGAAAGCAATTCAGTTGGTGGCTCTTTCAAAAGCAATGGCATTCATTGAAATTAAATTTTGGATGCAATTTTATCTAATTTTTAAGGATGCAATATTTTATTGCTCAAACTGTAGAGACATTAAGTATTTTTGGAAGCAGGCAAGATGAAAAATATGCAACGCCTTCACCAACAGCTTCAACTTCACCAACATTCATTCAACGGAATATCGAACCGCTGACCTCTCGAATACTCGCCCTGCGTGCAGACCACCACATCAAGAAGACATGCTAAGAAGGTGGGAGAAATACCTTATATACTCCCCCTTTTTAAAGGGCAACTGGGTTTTTAGAGGATTCAATCGCCAAATCCTGGGTGTGGAAATTCATCATCCACCACCCTTTTAGTTCGGGCGGCACTGTAGAGACATTAGGTTTTTTTTTGGAAGCAGGAGTGATGGAAAGTGAGCAACGCCTTCGTCGGGAATTGAACCGTGGACCTCTGGAATACGCGCGCAGCGTGCAGACCACCACACCACGAGGCATGCTAAGAAGGCGGGAGAAATACCTTATAAAACTCATTAATGCTGTGTGTTTGTTATATACTTATGTGTTATATATTTGCTATATACATACGTTATGTTTCTCATAAATCAAGCGTTGTGAGCAATTGTACGGAATCTATTCACATTATTCTGTTTTGTGTGCAACACACTGATCCGGACGCCTGATGATTGTAGGATCGATCTACCATACAAGTTTGAGGCAATGTTTTTACTTTCGTGTACTAAGTAAAGGAAGTACTGTAATCCCTAAAAATTTTGGTTAACAGACTTCAACGGAAATACCCATTTTGACCGTTCCCGAATACATTTTGATTATTTTTTTTAAAGAAGACTAAAGAATTCTTTATTTCAAATCTGTACGTAAAATTGATTAAAAATGGACTTTTTTCGAGACGTCTGTACGTACGTATGTGTCTTGCATAACTCAAAATAGATTAGCCGTAGACTGTCGAAATTTTGTATGTAAGGCTACTGCAAGATCTAGTTATGCATCTCCTTTTTTTATTGCTATCCGCGATACTAAATACAAAACACACACATATATATATATATAATTTTTACTTATACATACATACACACACATATATATATAAGTAAAAATAATTATGAGTAATTTAAAATGTCTAAAACTTGCGATAAAGCTGCTAAGTAATAAATGAACAATTTATTATTAGAAAAGGTATTTATATATTATCTACAAAGGAGCGAAATTTAATTAAAGGCATGAATTATTAGAAAAACATTAGTAAGCATTTTTAAGTAACTTTCCAGGTCAGTATCCAAAGTTATCTAGATTTTCTATTGTAGTAAAAATTATTTAAAATCTCTAAAAAAAAATCCTTTGACCGTAAAATTTCTAAATATTAAATTCAAAAGCCAAAGTACTAAAAAAGTAGGTATTGTCATTGATAACGCGCAGATTAATTGACTTGTCAAGGGGAACAAACCAGTATACTTATAGACTAGAAGAGAAACACGCTAATGTGACAATCAAAATCGTAAAAAACAACCTTGTATTTAGCGTAGGTATAATGAAACACTCAATCGATTTTGAGGGCAGCTAAAGGTCCCTCCTCATCAGGAGAAAGAAATACATAGAAAGAAGAAAATAGGAGAAGGAGTCACAGAAACACGTGGTCCTTATCAGCACTGCACGTGGTTAAAACTAGATTTGTAATCAGAGTTGCACTGGCCGCCTACTTTTACTGAGCCAGGCTATCTGATCAAGCATAAAGAAATATTAGCGAAGTTAAAATAGGGAGCGAGGGGCAAATGCATCTTACGCTCAAAATCTGAACTTCAAATAATGGAAACCACGTGTTTCTGATAAGGACCACGTGTTTCTGTGACTCCTGTGCCAATGCTTTATTTTTCTTCTTTTTTCCCCTTTCTAGTAATTTCGTTCTCCTGTATGAGGAGGGACCTTTAGCTGCCCTCGAAATCGATTGAGTGTTTCATTATACCTACGCTAAATACAAGGTTGTTTTTGACGATTTTGACAGTATACTTATGTTTATATATATCATTATATACCCACCGCTTTTACCCGCCTGTTATTTTCGCAATTGTTGGTCGTAGTCATACATTTTCAATTACATTACAAAAGTGTTTAAAGTGACGAAAATATTCATGTGTTGACAATCTGAAATTTAAAAAAAAAAAAAAAATCTGAAATGTTTCAGATTTTAAATTACGTCCAAAGGGCCGTTTTTTTAACGTTTTGAGTGTTACCTTTATTTATTAAATATCTTGTTCTTTGCACTTAAACCATAAAATTCAGTTCAAGAGCAATATCGCAAAATAATGTTAAATTAAGCATATCTTTAGAATTTCCGATATACACAGTCTCGCGAGCTGGAGATAAAAGTATTTTTTTTCTATATAACGTTGCCATTTCTCGCTTTGAAAGCATTGAGTTTGTAAATCAAAAATTCGTTAAAGTTTTACAAAATATAAAATCTATAATAAAACAAATTCCAAATTTGGGATTTCAGATGCCCATATTCGCAGTAGGATTTCGTTCATTCAAATTCGATGGCTCTATGTACCATTGTTTTATCACAATGCGAGAAATAGACAATCATTTATGCAGATTTTTCATTTATTATTTAATTTCTCTTCTTCAATATAATGCAGGACTCTAACATTTTGTGGCAACAGTTTGAAAAGTGAACCGACGTTTATGAGTCCGACGCAAAATCGCAAAACGAAAACAATAGTCCTTCAGGGACAAATCCCTTTTGGACTAAAAAAAATTTAATGCGATTTCCTGGTTCGTGTACTTATATTTAGGAAAGTTTTATACTCGTTATATAAAAATAAAATTAGAGAAGTTTAGCTGACGTACGACAAAAGTTGATGGGTATATTTAATTTTTAAATTTGTAATTTTTCTCTCTCAACTTGCCTTGAGGGATTGGTTTCAAATCAGGTGAAAGGTTCGGCATTACCTTGACTACCTATTCAGTTCTTGGAAACAGCTGGTTGATTCCCCTATGCTGGGCTTACGAGACATTCTATGAGTTTGACCCTCGAGAAATGCTTCGCTTTGCAATGTTTAGAAAACAATGTTTATATTTTACATTAAAGGAGTAGGAGGTACTTACTTTTATATTTTACATTAAAGGAGTACGAGGTACTTACTTTTATATATTCGAAGGCCAAATTCAAATGTATGTTTTAATGCCGTGGATCGCACAATGTTTCAGTCAGTATTGAGAAATAAGTTGTGGAATAATAAACACGAAACATTTCAGGGCATGTATTTAATACCAAGAAATAGTTTTAAAAAGCTCTCAGACATCTGTACATTACATGAAACACGTGCGCTCTGTATTGGGTTATATACGCCTTTCAGGAAAAAACACGAAAATATACACTTTTTAAGGGTACTGATCATTTATAACAATAATGATAATAGATGTGATAATAACAACAAATAATTTTTCTGAACTTTTGCCGATTGCCGCAGATAATGAACTTACAGGCTGCACGTGTCTCGTGCACCACCAGTTGTCCATCATAGTGCTCAAATATAAAAAAATGCAGAGTAGTTGAAATTTGTATTTTTTCTGAACTAGGTGTGACGTAGAAATTTACGACGAGGAGAAACCCATATCACGAGAAGCTCTCTTGAAAGGTGTTAAAGGAAAAGATGGACTGTTCTGCTTGCTAACTGATCCGATAGACAAAGAAGTATTGGACACTGCAGGTTAGTTGAAATTTCATATTCTCAAATTAGTTGCCTTGAATTAAAAGGAATCAGCTTTATAGACAAACTTTATTAACATTCTAAAACATGAAATATTCTTTAACAGAAAAATCCCTGCAGCACAGGGAAAAAACTCCATTCAACACCAAAAGAATAAACATGAACAACTGTTGCCATTCACACAAACTCAATAGCAAAACAAAACGTGTTGCCAGTATCAAGATTATTGTATAAATGATAACATAAAACTAATGAGAGATCCAAAAATAATTAAGACACAATAACACGCCGAATAAGTACTAATTCAGAAGTCAAACAACAAAAATCAGCGTTATATTTACAAAATTTTCACAGGACTAGTTTCGATGGTTTTACCGAACCACCATCTTCAGCTGCAAAACCGCAAATGAACAAGATAGGAAATAATGATTAGATGAGATAAGAAAGCCTGGACAAGAATAAGCAAGTGGCGCCATCTGTTGGCGAAACCAGAACTAAAACAAAATTTCTCTAAAAGCCGAAGGCAAATTTGGATTGGAATTAGGATCGTTAACTAGAACAGAAAGATTTTTATGAATGTGAAATGCCTCTAGAAAATCCAGTTCTCCAATGGAAGATGTTTTTTAAATAATTTTAGCAGCAGAAAAATTGAAAGTGTGATTTTTGGACCAACAATGTTGAGCAACAGAAGACTTCTGTGTTTCCTTTTTCCTAACATATGCCTCATGTTCTTTGACGCGAAATTTTAAGGCTATCTTAGTTTGGGCCAATGTAAATTAAACCACACTGGCAAGGAATCCTATAAATACCCCAAGAATTCATATCCGGAATGGGGTCCTTGAGTATAGAAGTCCGAATTTTATTGATGGGAGAATAAACAACCCGAAAGTTAAATTTCTGCAAAATATGTGCAACTTTATAGCTAATTGATGGAAATAAGGGAATGACAACAGAATTTTTATAATCTCCTAAAATAAGAGTGTGGCTTTTAGTGTGTTGAGATGAGAAACTGCTTGATTAATAATGTTGGGTGAAAAGCCCCTGTCAATAGCTATTGCTTTTAAATAATTTAGTTCCTGAAATTCAATGTGAAATTCAATAATAAACCTTTGAAACCAAATCTAACTGCGAGAGAAAGAGCTACAATGCGCGAAATTCATTCTAACCCAGATATTATCATTTCAAAGGCCGACAAAGGTGGCCAGATAGTCGTCATGGATCAGAACACTTACATCGATGGTGTCACTAAACTCTTAAACAAAGGACCATATAATCCGATCCCTAAAGATTCGTCACCTTCGGACTTGTCCAAAAAAAAACTGCGATCAATCTTCGCAAATCATTTCAAAGCAACTTAAAACATTCGCTTATCCCATCTGTTGCGAGTTGTGCCAGATTATATGCTCTTCCCAAAATTCATAAAAGTGGTGTTCCTTTCCGCCCTATTGTATCAAATTTAGGTACTGCCTCGTATCCATTAGCTAAATATTTAGTTTCTAGATTTTCCACTCTATTAGAGAATAACATTTACACCATAAAAAATTCAATAGAGTTTGTAAAAAAGGTTAAAAACATTTCTCCTAGAAATTTACTCATGGTTACTTTTGATGTAAAATCGTTATTCACCAATGTCCCGGTGGAGGGTGCATTAAGATGTCCTAGAAACCAGACTTCGCGAATTTCATTTCTCTTGCATCGAAATTGATGAGCTAATTTCTCTCACTCAACTCTGTTTGAAACAAACACATTTTGTTTTCCAAAATAAATATTACAAGCAAACTGAGGGATTAGCCATGGGAAAGCCCCCTCAGTCCCATCCTGGTTGATATCTACATGCATTATTATGAATCAAAATAGTTTGAAACTTTAAAAACTTCCGGCATGGTTCCGCTACGTAGACGATACTTTTACCCTGTTTGAAGGTAATAAAGATGATTTAAATAAAGTTCTTTCAACAATGAATTCTATTGATCCTGCTATTCAGTTCACTTTTGAACTTGAGACTTGCAATTCTCTTCCGTTTCTCGACATTCTGGTCACACGTAACACATCCAACTTCAGTACTACACAGTTTACCGTAAACCTTCATCGGTTTGCCTTCCACCACACTTTAAATCATGTCATCCGACTAAACAAAAGTTAGCTTCATTTTATTCCTTTTTCCGTGCTCTTCAAGTTTGCTCCTCCAAACCTAGCCCTTGATGAAGAACTAAATTATTTAAAAGCAATAGCTATTGACAGGGGCTTTTTCACCCAACATTATTGATCAAGCAGTTAAAAAATTCTCATCTCAACACAACTAAAAGCCACACTCTTATTTTAGGAGATTTAAAAATTCTGTTGTCATTCCCTTCTTTCCATCAATTAGCTATAAAGTTGCACATATTTTGCAGAAATTTAACTTTCGGGTTGTTTATTCTCCCATCAATAAAATTCGGACTATACTCAAGGACCCCATTCCGGTTATGAATTCCTGGGGTATTTATAGGATTCCTTGCCAGTGTGGTTTAATTTACATTGGCCAAACTAAGATAGCCTTAAAATTTCGCGTCGAAGAACATGTGGCATATGTTAGAAAAAAGGAAACACAGAAGTCTTCTGGTGCTCAACATTGTTGGTCCGAAAATCACGCTTTCAATTTTTCTGCTGCTAAAATTATTCAAAAAATCATCTTCCATTGGAGAACTGGATTTTCTAGAGGCATTTCACATTCATAAAAATCTATCTGTTCTAGTTAACGATCCTAACTCCAATCCAAATTTGCCTTCGGCTTTTAGAGAAATTATTTTTTAGTTCTGGTTTCGCCAACAGATGGCACCACTTGCTTATTCTTGTCCAGGCTTTGTTATCTTATCTAATCATTATTTCCTATCTTGCTCATTTGCGGTTTTGCAGCTGAAGATGGTGGTTCGGTAAAACCATCGAAACTAGTCCTGTGAAAATTTTGTAAATATAACGCTGATTTTTGTTGTTTGAGTTCTGAATTAGATCCAAAAATGTTTTTGGATTTGTCAAGAAGGATCTGTATTCAAACACCCTTTATTTTGCCCGGTCATGGCGCTCAGAGGGTTAAATACTGAGAAAATGCAGATATTAAATATACATCCGACAAAAGAGAAAAGAAAAAAAATGCAAATATTAAATATACATCCAAACACAAATAATTCATCTTCTGTACAAATAAAGGAAAGCATATAGAGTTAAAAAGGAGCCAAGATGTTAATGTTTGGTTTATATTTGGATCTAAGGAGTAAGAATGAAAATGTCGGCTCAGATGATATCGAAATAGAAGTACTTTAATATTTAAGAAGTTCGCAGAAAAATTAACGTAAAATGATATTGAATAATATTATAATTCTAAGATTTTTTAATCGTATATGAAACATAAATTCTTAAATTAGTGTTTCCTTTAGAACCAGGGCTGTGGAGTCAGAGTCATGGAGTCGGGCAGATTTTGGGGTACTACAATCAGCAGAATTGACAGGAGGCGAGAATGGGATGTTTGTTTCTTTCTGAAATGGAGGGTTTATTGCAGAAGGATTCATTTCTTCAATGAAGAAAAGAGAAACTAGTTTGCTAGGCAATGAGATCTTGCTGGGTTCAATATATGTACATCTGAAACATCGAATTTTCTTGGATGACGAACAAATTAAAAAGACAAAGAAAACCATCTATGAACTTTCATTAAGAATGAAATTATTCTCAGAACAATTGGAGAATTCGAATCAGGACAGTCAAACTGCAGGCATTGCAATTGAATCTCTATCATCCTCTTCCAGTGATGAATTAGATTTTGAGAAATATTTTAGGATAATATTGAAAAGGCGAAGGCAAAGCGAATGAAAATAAATAACCAAGAACCTTTAAATATAAAAATGAAAAAATACAAACAAGATTTCAACACGGCCTTTGAAGAAATAGAAAAATATGATTGCGCTGGCAAGACTCCTCTTTTAGAACTTATAAAAATCTAGTCTGAAAAGTTAAAAGAAGTAGCGCTAACAGTAAGTAACAGCTCTTCCTCCTACTCAAGTTAGTGTGGAAAGACTTTTTTGAGCTCTGAAGTTTATCAAGTCGGATCTATGGCCCTCCAACAAAGACTATCTTGCCGAAGCCATACTGTTTCTTAGAAATAACTAAAGCAAGTTTTTCCATTTTATAATAAATGCTAATTAATATAATAATTTGCTATTCCATCAATTTTCTTTCAATTTCCATCATCATCTGTTACTTCTTTTATATTAAAAAAATAAGCTGTAGCCCATGCGTATAAGCTTACATGTATATATATGAGGGAGTCGGAGTCTTTAAAATTCCAGGAGTCAGAGTCGGAGTCGATTATTTTCCCTACCGAGTCCACAGCCCTGTTTAGAACTTAAATATGCTATTTGTCTTATTCCTCTATGCACGGTTTTCATAACAAAGGAGATTCTGATACATAATTAGGGTTCAAGGCTTAGTGCAATAATAATGCAATAGGTTAATTCCAGCTTTCACATGATTAGATCGTTTGCACACTCCTTGTTAGTGTGTTACATTATTTTAGCTGTTAAGAAATGTTTCATGAGTGATTTTCTGCCTCAAATTTGTTCTATATGCAGCAAGAGCCTCATAATATTTATTCTAGGATTTTCTTTGCAGCCGCATTTTTCCCGCTCACTGGCAGAAGAATAACAGATATGAGCGCGAAAAGTTGTGTACAGGCAACAAGCAGTAATCTATTTTCTGTAATCCTTATCTTTATTTTGATCATCATATCGGGTCTGTCATTATCTTCATCCTGTGACCGACGTATGAACTACATTCTTAAACGGATTTTCTTTCCACTTCAATTATACCCAGTCTTTTATATGTAAGTTTCTGTGACTTAAATATTAAAGAATTACATACAGAACAAAATGTGTCTGGATGGGTTTCACATTCATAAATGAGATACAGTAATAATTAAAAAAAAGGATGACTAATTAGTTTGAAGTAACATAGATATATGCATGCTATATTGCTTGAAAATCAGTTGGAAACTGCAGTAATAAAAAATAATGTCTCTAAAATTAGTTGGAAAAATAAATATATGTATTGTTGCGCGCGTACGGGTTCGTTATGAATTGAATGCGGAAGTCCAATGAAAAGTGAATATTATCACAACAAATAAAACAAAATGCTTAAAGTTCCTCAGATATTTGTACAATATTCCAATATCTCACAGTAGTTATTTTTTAAACTACTAAAAACGTTCAATAGAGCTAATTCAAAACAGAAACGTAGAGAAAGCTAATCCGATTTCAACGCGAATTCGCTACAGTAAACAACTTTCTAAAAACTGAGCTGAGGTGTTCTATCTCTGGCTTTTATAGCTTTTTAAATCGGCCGCACGAGATTGTTCTAGCAGTTTCTCGAAATCAAAAAGAGACATTTATTTATTAAATGTTAAATGCACGCGCTCTTGTATTTTTTATTTTCCGGCTTAGCTTTCTCTTAATATTCGTCACACGCTGCACTGCACGGGGAATAAAACAATTTAATTTGTAATTCTACTAACATTAGCGATTTAAATACCAAATCCGTAACAGTATTGACAAAATCAGCACATTACGAAACGGTTGCATAAATAACACAAGGAAAACATTTGGAAATTAAGTACATTAAAAAATGTAACAAAATAGCCCGTATGCCTGTATAAAGAGAAATGCTTTCTTTCAAAAATGTGATGTGACAAATAAAAACTACATTCATTTAAGATATTTCAGAATTTTCAAAATATTTCGAATTCTAAATCTATTAAGCTTACATATTTATGTATCATATGAGTTTTGGTTGTTGACTAGTGTGATTTATAATGCAAATGTTAGTATCATCATGTATAAAGTGTTCTGATTTATGTGAATCACGCTTTTTCAATTTACAAACCGTGTATATACGTTAACATTAATTCAGTTCGAAATGCTGAATAGAATAAAAACAGTTCAATAAAAACAGTGAGAAAACAGTTCCTATTAGTATTATGAACGGAATACCGATCATATCGTTATGAGTTTTGTACATAAATAGATGATTTTAGTGAAATTATATGCGAAATTGTTAAAGATAAAGTCATCTGGACGCCATCCTGCGTTACTCTCCAGACTTTGTCCGACGAGAAGATCGATATCGAAGGAAAGTTAAACGTAAACATCACGTTGGAAGTGCCGCCTACCATAATACAGTATAATACATGGCAGATATTACAGATCCTTGCATATTGGACTTACTAAGAAAGTATAATATTTCCTTGTACTTGAACGAACTGCATTCTGCTTCTGAAGACATAACTGTCCATCATCGGAATGGGTCATCATATGGAAATGCTGACGCCCCGTCTAAAAGACACTTTCCAGAAAGCTGCAGATGTTGTTCCAGGTCGAAGGGAAATACGAGCTGCTTAATTGTCGTACGTCAAGTTACGAATTCAACATCGTCTGACCCAGATCTAAGAATCGGCGAAGAAGTCAGAAAAGACCAGTTTGAAGACGGTGGCAATAAATCCCTAATTGATTTAATGTAGTCTTCAATTGGAAAATCTATCTGGAAGGATATTTCGATGTATAGTCTTACAAAAATACAATATTGGGCTCTCTGGGACTCGCTTCACATTCAAAACGGCGTTTTCTACTAGAAATTCGAATTGGATGATGGAAAGGCTTCCCGATGGCAGCTGATACTTCCAAGATCCCGGATTCCGGACGTTCTTTAAGAACTATAGCAGCCCTATAGGATACTATTTCGGAATAATGAAGACTTTGCGCAGAATTCGAGAGTGCTTCTACTGCAGTAAAGCAAGGGCTGACGTGCAAAAGTGGTGCCAATCATGTGATGATTTTGCGGTGGAATAGGGCCGAAGAAACGCAGCCGGGGCAAGCTGCAACGTTACAATTTAGGAACGCTTTTTAAACGTATAGCCTTTGACATTCTGGGACGTCTGCCACGAAATGCTTGATGGTAGCAAATACATCCTCGTTGTCATTGATTATTTCACCAAGTTGCCCCCTATTCCTGATCAAGAGGCTGTCACGGTAGCAGAAGTAGCGATACAACATTAGACTTTCAGGTTCGGAGTGCTTCTTCAGTTGTATTCCGATCAAGGAAGAAATTTGAACCTCGGCTGTAATTAAAAAACTCAACAAGCTGCTCGGCATCGACAAAACCCAAATGACACCTTTACAACCCCAGTCAGAGGGCATGGTAGAGAGGTTTAATCCAACCATCCCTGATAACTCTCGCTAGTGGTTTCCAGAAACCAACAAAGCGTTATCTCGTTTTTTACTGCCATTGTAGTGCTGTTCACGAGACTACAGGCTATTCCCTATCCCAGATGATCTTCTATCATGGCTTCGTATGCCTTTTGATCTCTTGTTTGGTCGCCTTTCGAATGCGCCTTCATTCAAGCACTTTGAAGTGATGTTCAGTTTTGCACGGAGCGAGTCAGCTTGGCGACGGAGAAGGTGAAGACCCGATACGACACGAGAGCTACAAGACATCGATTCAATGAAGGAAACAAGGTTTGTTTATGGAATCCGATTTCATAGAAAGGTCTTTCTCCTAAACTACAGTCACGTTGGGATGGTCCTTACACAGTCCTAATCAAACTGAACGACGCCGTAGCTTGGATCCTAGTTGTGATTCTAGGCGAGCGTTCTTGCATAGGTTTTCTACTAGGCCATTACTAGTCCCTAGTCTACATCCGGATCGTCGATGGTGTTGGCCGTTAAACTTCGTGCTCCGATTTTAGTTGATTTTAAAGGTGGAAATAGCTACAGTCGGTATTTTTCATGTTTTAAAATGTGTGCATAAAGTGTTCCTGATCAAGTAGATACCAATTTTGTGAAATTCGACCTGCAAATTTCAAAGTTATGGTGATTTTGGATACATAGTTGTGGTTTAGTGTTGCGAGATTCCAGCAATGGGGTCTTCGTTTTGTGAAGTTTTGGATCGTGTTTTGTGCCTAACAGGTGTAGAAATTATGTTCTACAGCTTCCGTGGATTGCATCGATTTGCGTCATATGTATTTTAGATAAGTATTTACTGATTTATCTTCAATTTTGTATTTGTTTACATTGTACTTTGTGTTCATAGACTGATATTAAGCTAGAGACTGTTTTCGAATTAATTAATGGTCCTTTTGGTGAAATTAATTGCAATTTTCTTTTAAATATTAATGTTTTTTATGATTTTATGACTTACAAAAAATTTTTGGACAGTTTTATCACAATTAGGATAATTAATTAAGATTTTTATACTATGGTACAAAAAGGACGCTATCTTACACCACTGTTCTTCGAAATTCTTAAGAGTCTGTAACCGGAAGTTGCCATACGCATAGAAAATATGTTCTAAATTTTTATATGTTGTTACTGATTATAATCTCTAGAGAAGTAATGTTTTTGAACTTGTCAAACTTACGTTCTGAGACTGTGGTTCTTTCCTGGAAAACTCCATAGACTATATGTTAAATTCATGCTTATATTACTACTTGAAGTCAAGTGATAATTGTTTTAATTTCTGTGCTATAATGTTCCTTGGGGTCCTTTTTGTTAATTTAATAATTCAAATCGTACTTAATTTTAATTAGTCTTTTGTTAATTAATGATTTTTGTTTTAATTGGTTCTTTTCTGCTTACCGATTTGTATTTCATAGTGTTTCTATTTCTGTTTCACTTTTAAGTCATATGTTTAAGGGTTTTATGATTATATAGTAACTCCCTCTGCAGAAAAGCCCATTTTATAGAATTATAATAAAATGTCTCATTCTAATGTTACGCTTTCTCCGGCACATTCAGTTTCTTCAGTCTTTGAATCTTCTCCTGGCTCTGTACAAGATTTGGCTCCAGAAAAGGTAACTGGGAACCATCTATCATTTATTAATGAATCCTATGACGGTATCTTAGCATTTTTAGTTGATGCCAATGCAAAACATAAATTAAATAATAAAGATGCAGCGAAACTTAAAAAGTTTGTAAGCAATATCAGATCACATTCAAACAAACGTGAATTATACATAGCTCACCTGGAAGGTTTTAACGCCTGCTTGAAGGAAAGAGTCTCTTCATTGGAGGAAAAGAATTCTTTGTTGGAAAAAAGACTTTTGGAACTTGAGTTAAAATTTAATCAGTTAACACAGCTTGACCAAGCCACTGTCTTACCACATTCGGAAATAGCGTCCGATTTACAGGCTTGTCATTCACATAGTTTAGACGGTAAATTTGATAAAGTGAATTCGGAGTTATCTTCTGCAGAAATTGTTAGGCTTACTTCGAAGCCTTCACAGGTAAGGAAGATTCCAGCTCAACAGGATCACGTTTTGATTATCAAGGCTAAAGATACAAGTAGATCGCCAAACAGTATTAAGACGCAATTAGTTCAGAATATTAAACCGCAAAGGCTCGGAGTAAATATTTTACAAGTTCGTCCAACAAGAGCCAAAGAGTTACTTGTTCGTTGTAAAGAGGAAAAGCAATTGGTGACATTGAAAAAAAGCCATTTTGGAAAACTCGGATTTGAAGGAACATTTGGACCTGAGAATTCCAAGACTGCCAAGGGTGTCTTTCATAGTTTTTGGGGTTCCTCAGGATACTACTTCTGAGGAACTACAAATTGCTTTTCAAGAACTCTTATCATCAGGTGAGAAGAATTTTGTTTTTCCAAGGGAACCCAGATCCAGAACAGACGGTACGTGCAACTGGCTTGTTGAGGTGTCTAGAGAACAGGCACAATTGTTGAAGGACCTGAAGAGAGTCTATATTGGTTTCGCATCGTGCTTCTTTCGAGAATTTCATAAAGTGACGCGTTGTTATCACTGTCAAGCCTTTGGTCATTTAAGTCTAATTTGCAAAAATCCACCGGCCTGTGCAAAGTGCGGGAAGGGC